ATAAATAACTTAACATAATTTCTAGATAAAATATTTACAACCTATGGGGCCCAGGTGGGCCAGAAAATTTTAATTGGATTCTTTCAGGGGTTTCCAATCAATTTTTTAGGATTAGTTTCGGATCTGAGTTTAAAATTATTTTAAACAAGCTTTTCTCAAAAAACTGTAAATCAGACCTTGTTTAATCTACCTTCCTGAGATGTTCGGAGGAATTTTTTTTTTTCACCTGATTTTGAGATGATCGATTTTGAAATTAAATTTCCTTTTCTCCAATTTTTCTAGAAAAAGAACATTTCACTGTCATCCTCACAGTTGCTGAGGGTTCTCTCAAATTTCCTAATGCGCTGATACCATTCCGGATCCTGGTGGCATACCTCCTCGGGCCTGCCGCCATTGTGGCGATATAAATATTCGGTGATGCCATGACCCTGGACGCCGTTTACAGTGCAGCGGAAGAACTGATTGTAGACCTTCGATTCCCAATTGCCACCCATGTAACGGACGGCACAGTCTTCCACTTGAATCTGAACAAAATAGCTGGTCTCCTCGGTGTGGACAATGAAATTTTGATGATTCGGCGGTACACCCTTCTCGCCATAGGTGTAGAGCTCGAAGTTACATTTGGTTATGGGCTTGTGAATGCCATCCTTGGTGCAGATGTAGCCCACCTTGAGGGAGGACAAAAAGAAGGAGGGTTGGGAGAGATTACCCACCACCATGCTGGTGCCATCGTCCAGGAAGAGAGAGAAATAAACATAACGATTAATGGTGGAGAGGCAGCGATCGGTTCCAAAGCTGTGGTCCCGGAAGCCGTTCAATTTCAGCGCCTTGCCTCCCACACCCTCAATTTGCAGATCTCCTCGCAGTTCACCATTCTGCTCGTAGTGGGTACGTTTCTCCAGGAACTTATGCACATTGACACACATAATGTAGAAGGCCTCATTCCAGGACTCTCGGGCAATGGAGTCGGCAATCACGGCGGGGCTCAAATCCCGGTTATAATCAAAGTGGGATGAGGTAGAATTGAATTCCAAATTCAATTTCACCTGCAATTCTTTACCCTCCGACACCTGTTGCAAAGGACCCTCATATTTGATGCACCACGACTTCATGGGCTCCTTGGGATAGATGTGGAAACCATTGCCCTTAAACTCATTATTCTCCTGGTCACCATCTGTGGTGAAATACAACATGTCGGGCAATTTCGGTGAGGCCAAGAGACCATAGTCGGGCAACCACATATAGATACAGGCCCGTATAATGCCACGACGTCTACGCTCCAGGGTAACCATAAATTTCTCCCCCTTTATGTTGGCCGCCATAAACGAGACCACATCATAGGATTTCGGATTTTCCGATAGCTCTTGGGGTCTATCCAAATTTTGCAGATACTCCTGTTTGTTGAGGTCCTCTTCGTTGCGATGATAGAATTTGTAACGCATTCGCTTCAACACCACCAGGGCAATGACATATTTCAGGTGATAGAAGAGGCCCTTGCGAGGATAAATTCCGAAAATCATTTTGGATTTAAGGCGGAGCAGTAGGAGGATCAGTAGGAAGAGGCCCACCACCGCACCCACTACCACACTCACAGACAAGACAATATATTCCGCCATTATGAGGCTGCTGGTTTTTCGTTCCTCTTCGTTGTCCGTTTAAATAACCGTTACCGTTTAATCGCCTCCAAGGCTAAGACGTGACTGCCATGCCGAGTCATTGACAATATCGGTCTTCAAAAAAAAAAAAAAAAAAAAAACAACAACAACAAGAAGCCCGACTGTCCATCAGCAATATTATCGTCACGCATTTATCATCGATCAGGGGGCAGGGTTGCCATGCCAATTTTTTTAAATTTATACCAAAATTTTTCTTTTGCGAAAATTTTGCTAAAATAGGCAAAACTTATCAGAGGAAATCCGGCTTTTCCAATTCTAAATGAAATTTTGAAAATAAAAATATCTGAAATTGACCCAAAATCCGACCATTTTTTTCTTTCCGACCAAAATGTCAACATATTTTTCCACCCATCAATTTTGTAATCTCCACTTTTGTCCAAGAACCCCAGTTGCAGGGGATAACCACCTTCCGACCCCACCCCTTAATTTGATAATAATTCTTGTTGGCCTTTTTCTCTGTCTCTCTCTCTCTCTCTCTCTTTCCCTGTCTGATAATTTCCAATACCTCCGATATTTTCTTTCAATTGTTCTCCACATAACATGGCTGATAAGATTTTATTTATTTTTTTTTCAATTTTTTGTTGGATTTGATTTTGCACATGAACCGCCGTTATCTAGCTCCGGTTATGGGCATTGGCGTTGATTTGCTTTCTGGTAGCAAAAATTGAAAACGCTCAATATCTAGCAAAAGATTACAGGTTAATCAGTTCCATAACTATTTTTGTTTGGAAAAAACAAAAACTCACTTCCTCCCACCCCTTTCAGAGAGAGAGAGAGAGGGAGTCACAGTATTCGAATCGTGATAATCTTAATCAGATTTCAATTTATTGTTGTTATTGCTACCAGTGTTTTCCTCTTTCTAGTTGCTGACCAGATTGTAAATTCTTGCTTGGCTAAATAAAAAAAAAAACAAATTGTTATTATTTTTTTATGAATTCGGGACAAATAAGTTGATATAATAAAGTTAAGATTTATTGGCGGAGCTATTGAGGGAAAATAAATACAAAGCAAGAGAGGAGAGAGATAAAGAGAGAGCGAAAAATATGTGTTTTCGTGAAAAAATATTTGTTCCAAATTATTTTCCAAGGAAAACAAAATTTTCTATTGAAAAAAATTTGTCCCAATTTATTTTCTATGGGAAAAAATTGGGACAAATTTATCCGAATAATATTTTCATAAAAAAAAAAATTATCCGGATAATATTTTCATATAGAAAAAAATTTATCCGGATAATATTTTCATAGGAAAAAAAATTTATCCGGATAATATTTTCATATAGAAAAAAATTTATCCGAATAATATTTTCCTATAGAAAAAATTTTTTCCGCATAATATTTTCTTATATAGAAAAAAATGTTATCCGGATAATATTTTCATATAGAAAAAAATGTTATCCGGATAATATTTTCATATCGAAAAAAAATTTATCCGGATAATATTTTCATATCGAAAAAAAATTTATCCGGATAATATTTTCATTTAGAAAAAAATGTTATCCGGATAATATTTTCTTATATAGAAAAAATTTATCCGGATAATATTTTCTTATATAGAAAAAATTTATCTGGATAATATTTTCTTATATAGAAAAAAATTTATCCGGATAATATTTTCTTATATAGAAAAAAAATTTATCCGGATAATATTTTCATATAGAAAAAAACTTATCCGGATAATATTTTCTTATATAGAAAAAAAATTATCCGGATAATATTTTCTTATATAGAAAAAAATTTATCCGGATAATATTTTCTTATATAGAAAAAAAATTTATCCGGATAATATTTTCTTACATAGAAAAAAAAATTAATCCGGATAATATTTTCTTATATAGAAAAAAATTATCCGGATTATATATAGAAAAAAATGTTATCCGGATAATATTTTCATATAGGAAAAAAATTTATCCGGATAATATTTTCATATAGGAAAAAAATTTATCCGGATAATATTTTCATATAGGAAAAAAATTTACCCGGATAATATTTTCATATATAGAAAAAAAATTATCCGGATAATATTTTCATATATAGAAAAAAATTTATCCGGATAATATTTTCATATATAGAAAAAAATTTATCCGGATAATATTTTCATATATAGAAAACAATTTATCCGGATAATATATTCATATATAGAAAAAAATTTATCCGGATAATATTTTCATATATAGAAAAAAATTTATCCGGATAATATTTTCATATAGGAAAAAAATTTATCCGGATAATATTTTCATATAGGAAAAAAATTTACCCGGATAATATTTTCATATATAGAAAAAAAATTATCCGGATAATATTTTCATATATAGAAAAAAATTTATCCGGATAATATTTTCATATAGGAAAAAAATTTATCCGGATAATATTTTCATATAGGAAAAAAATTTACCCGGATAATATTTTCATATATAGAAAAAAAATTATCCGGATAATATTTTCATATATAGAAAAAAATTTATCCGGATAATATTTTCATATATAGAAAAAAATTTATCCGGATAATATTTTCATATATAGAAAACAATTTATCCGGATAATATATTCATATATAGAAAAAAATTTATCCGGATAATATTTTCATATATAGAAAAAAATTTATCCGGATAATATTTTCTTATATAGAAAAAAAATTATCCGAATAATATTTTCTTATATAGAAAAAAATTTATCCGGATAATATTTTCATATATAGAAAAAAATTTATCCGGATAATATTTTCATATATAGAAAAAAATTTATCCGGATAATATTTTCATATAGAAAAAAATTTATCCGGATAATATTTTCATATCGAAAAAAAAAATTTATCTGGATAATATTTTCATATCGAAAAAAAAAAAAATTTATCTGGATAATATTTTCATATCGAAAAAAAAGATTATCCGGATAATATTTTCTTATATAGAAAAAAATATTATCCGGATAGTATTTTCTTATATAGAAAAAAATTTATCAGGATAATATTTTCTTATATAGAAAAAAATTTATCCGGATAATATTTTCTTATATAGAAAAAAATTTATCCGGATAATATTTTCTTATATAGGAAAATATTTATCCGGATAATATTTTCTTATATAGAAAAAAATTTATCCGGATAATATTTTCATATAAAAAAAAAAATTATCCGGATAATATTTTCATAGAAAAAAAATTATCCGGATAATATTTTCATAGAAAAAAAATTATCCGGACAATTTGTCCCAAATTATTTTCTATAAAAAAAAGTTGTCCCAAATTATTTTCTATGAAAAAGAAAAAAATTGGGAAAAAAAACTTGAGATGGATAATTTTTTTCCTATGCAAATATTATCCGGATAAATTTTTTCCTATGCAAATATTATCCGGATAATTTTTTTTCTATGAAAAAATTGGGACAATTGTTTCTAAAAGAAAAAAAACTTGAGATGAATAATTTTTTTCCTATGAAAATATTATCCGGATAAATTTTTTTCTATGAAAATATTTTCCGGATAAATTTTTTTCTATGAAAATATTATCCGGATAAATTTTTTTCTATGAAAATATTATCCGGATAAATTTTTTTCTATGAAAATATTATCCGGATAAATTTTTTTCTATGAAAATATTATCCGGATAAATTTTTTTTCTATGAAAACATTATCCGGATAAATTTTTTTCTATGAAAACATTATCCGGATAAATTTTTTTCTATGAAAACATTATCCGGATAAATTTTTTCTATGAAAACATTATCCGGATAAATTTTTTCTATGAAAACATTATCCGGATAAATTTTTTTCTATGAAAACATTATCCCGATAAATTTTTTTCTATGAAAACATTATCCGGATAATTTTTTTTCTATGAAAACATTATCCGGATAATTTTTTTTCTATGAAAACATTATCCGGATAAAGTTTTTTCTATGAAAATATTATCCGGATAAAGTTTTTTCTATGAAAATATTATCCGGATTAAGTTTTTTTCTATGAAAATATTATCCGAATAAAGTTTCTTTTCTATGAAAATATGGGACAAATTGTCCCAAATTATTTTCTATGGGAAAACAATTTGTCCCAAATTATTTTCTATGGAAAAAATTTGTCCCAAATTATTTTCTATGGAAAAAATTTGTCCCGAATTATTTTCTATGGAAAAAATTTGTCCCAAATTATTTTCTATGGAAAAACAATTTTGTCCCAATTTTTTTCTATGGAAAACAAATTGTCCCAAATTATTTTCTATGGAAAAAATTTGTCCCAAATTATTTTCTATGGAAAACAATTTGTCCCAAATTATTTTCTATGGGAAAAAAATTGTCCCAAATTATTTTCTATGGAAAAAAATTCGTCCCAAATTATTTTTTATGGAAAAAATTTGTCCCAATTTTTTTTCCTATGGAAAAAATTTGTCCCAATTTTTTTTCCTATGGAAAAAATTTGTCACAATTTTTTTCCTATGGAAAACAATTTGTCCCAAATTATTTTACAAGAAAAACAGTTTGTCCCAATTTTTTTTTTCTGTGGAAAACATTTCTCCCAATTTTTTTTTTCTGTGGAAAAAATTGTACAATTTTTAATGAACAAAAATTTGTCCCAATTTTGTCCCAAATTTTTTTCTATGAAAAAAATGTCCCAAAAATTAATTTTTTGCTATTTTTCTAAATTTATTGTCACAAAGTGCGATGGACCCACTTAAAGTGAGTCCAAATGTCTATTTTTTAAACTAAAATCCCCGGACTCTTAAATCCGCTTCCCGCCGGAAGATGAAATACCTCCATTAGTTCCCATGTCCTTCTTCCGTTTCCTGTCCTCCTTGTTGGTCATATCCTCCGTAGACTTACGTTTATAACTTTTCAAAATTTTACCAGAGTTCCGGCCATTTACTAAAGGAAGAGGTTGTGGTATGACCCCCGATGACGAACCATTTTGGCGTCCCGCTGCCATTGAGGATTCGGGGACATCGGCCAATTCGGTTTTTATGAAATGATTTACCAACGACGGCATTGGGGCAATCATCAGCAAATTATTACCCGCCGGAGGTGGGACTGGCGCCGGAACGCTTAAATAAGTGTTGAGAGAACGTTTGGTCCCATTTCCATTTAGGTGACCATTGAGTATCGCCGGAGTCGCATGATTATTGTTGTTTGGCTCATTTTCCTCCTGCTGATATTTTTCATCCTGCTCCTTTTGCCATTCCAGGACCCGTGTTAAAAGTTTAATGTATTTGATGGCGGATCTGAGGATCTCATTTTTCGAAAGCTTCTTATCCGGAGGATGGGTGGGTACCAGTTTCCTGAGCTCAGCAAAGGCACTGGACACGTTTTGTTGACGCCAGCGTTCCCGGGTGTTGGTGAAGACTTTGCGCACCAAGGGGAAGCCATTTTTATCAAAGACTTCTGGGCCGGAGGGAATCAGGGAGCTGGAGGATAGGGGTGGCGGTGAGCCACCATTCGACATGGGAATACCATTTCTGGGTGAAATATTTGGAGTGCGGCCAATGGAGGAACCTAAAAAGGATATTCGTTTTAAATAAAATTTCCTTTCAAGAATTCCCTGAAAATTTTTACCTTCACTTCCGGCCCCATTGAGCAGCACACAATTCCGAAACTCTTCTTCATCCTCCTCGGTATCATTGAGGGAAAAATCCGACAGCTCGCCATCGGATAAATTTTCCAATTTTGGATTTAAATGACCTTGGTTATTTATCAAGGCTGGGGGTTTGCCACGTCCAGTAACACTTGAGGTCCCCAGGACCTCCTTTTTGGGTGATGGGGATTCCATCTTTGCACTTTCCAATTCGGTGGAAACCTTACCAGGCCTTTCATCACTTTCAGACCAGGCCATGATGAGAATATATTTTTTTAAAAAATTTATTTCAAAAAAATTGATATCCTTTTGACTTTGATCCTTCTCTGACGACAGTCTAATTGGAAATGTCCTTATATCCTGTGGAGGCCATGATATTTGTGCGAAAATTCTTTACACATACTCACACCACCTTACAACTCACCCCCTACCTTGCTGGGCATACATCTCACACAAGGATGGGCGGAGCTTAACTGCCATTTGAAAAGCCAACAAAGCAACGAGTGTTCGGATGCTGATAAGAAAACAACCCTTAATGGGAATAGCACGGCAGGTTTACTAGTGTGGAGATATTTGGAATCATAAAAAGGACAATTTTTTAAAAGAAAAAAAAATTGAGACGGATAAATTTTTTTCTGTATGAAAATATTATCCGGATAATTTTTTTTTTACGAAAATATTATCCGGATAAATTTTTTTCTATATAAGAAAATATTATCCGGATAATTTTTTTTCTATATAAGAAAATATTATCCGGATAAATTTTTTTCTATATAAGAAAATATTATCCGGATAAATTTTTTTCTATATAAGAAAATATTATCCGGATAATTTTTTTTTCTATATAAGAAAATATTATCCGGATAAATTTTTTTCTATATAAGAAAATATTATCCGGATAAATTTTTTTCTATATATGAAAATATCCGGATACATTTTTTTCTATATATGGAAATATTATCCGGATAAATTTTTTTCTATATATGGAAATATTATCCGGATAAATTTTTTTCTATATATGAAAATATTATCCGGATAAATTTTTTTCTATATAAGAAAATATTATCCGGATAACTTTTTTTTCTATATAAGAAAATATTATCCGGATAAATTTTTTTCTATATATGAAAATATTATCCGGATAAATTTTTTTCTATATGAAAATATTATCCGGATAAGGTTTTTTTCTATATGAAAATATTATCCGAATACATTTTTTTCTATATAAGAAAATATTATCCGGATAAATTTTTTTCGATATGAAAATATTATCCGGATAAATTTTTTTCTATATGAAAATATTATCCGGATAAATTTTTTTCTATATAAGAAAATATTATCCGGATAAATTATTTTCTATATAAGAAAATATTATCCGGATAAATTTTTTTCTATATAAGAAAATATTATCCGGATAATTTTTTTTCTATATGAAAATATTATCCGGATAAATTTTTTTCTATATGAAAATATTATACGGATAAATTGTTTTCTATGAAAATATTTTCCGTATAATTTTTACCTACGGAAAATATTCATATTCCCACGTTCCTTAGACTCCTGCGTTCCACCGAAGCTCATCTTCATTTCATATTCATAACCACTACATGTGATTCGTTGTCCTCTGTCAACAAATAATCTGTCATAATCATATTTGATTTTTAGTTTGCTCTTAATCTCTAAATGATGTGAGAACCTGCTGCTCTCTCTCTCCCTCCCTCTTTACCTTGAATGATATTAGAGTTGCCATTTAAAATTTCAATGACAATTTTTGTTCCAAAGTCACACGTTGACACCCGCCGCTCTCTTGACTTGTGACCGGCCTTTATCTTTTAATTGGCCCACTAATCGGCTTAAATGTCTCTTCAAACCAGCCACCAAACAACTCCCTGGGTTGTTGGGAATGTATCAAAATCGAATTAGTTGGGCAAATTACTGAAAATATTTATCTTTCTTGGGAAGAAAAAAAGACAATAAATAGGGGTTGATTTGTGAGCCCCTGTCGTGTGTAAGTCAACACGAAGAGGAAATAATTTGGGCAAAGGCCAAGTATGAGTTTTTTTTATCCAATATCAAAAATAAATATTGAAAATTGAAAAGAGCAACAACACGTGTTGATGTTCTGAATTTCGGCACGTGTCTAAATCAAATCACAGAAAATATAAAAAAGTAAGGTTAGGTTGACCACCAATATTTTTATGACCTACTTTTTCCATTCATCCTCCATCAATTTTTTTAACACCCACAAATCAATTGTTCTTAATTTTTTTCACCTCCCACCCACATTTCATGCATCCTTTTTCTTTGCAAAAACATTCCACAATTTTCCCCTTTTTTCCCGAAGCCCAAAAGTTTAAATTTTAATTACCATTCCCTTGCCATGGCTATTTCTGGAAAGAAAAACTATTTTTTCTCCATTACTTTTTAATACTTTTTCCCATGTTTTTGCAACGCCTTTCGCCAAGTGCCTTCCTTCCAAAGACAATAACAAAGAATTATGGCAACCGCATCATGTTCGGAAATCAGGATTATTAACACGCGTCCTGAAGAGAAACAAAAAAAAAAAAAACGAGCAGCGTTAACGGTACGGAATCATTGAAATTCATTAATTGTTGGGATTAAAAGTCGAGTGAGTGTGAACAGCTTTGGGTGCGTTCAAAAGGCGAAGGGGGTGGGAAGAGGGCGTAGACAAGCAAAAAAAAGGGATGATTTCGTTTTCGGACAAATTTCATATTAAACATGAAATTTCCTATAAGGAATTTTAAACGGAAAAAAGGAAATTATTCTATAGAAAAAAAAAATTATCCGGATAATATTTTCTTATATAGAAAAAAATTTATCCGGATAATATTTTCTTATATAGAAAAAAATTTATTCGGATAATATTTTCTTATATAGAAAAAAATTATCCGGATAATATTTTCTTATGTAGAAAAAAATGTATTCGGATAATATTTTCTTATGTAGAAAAAAAATTTATCCGGATAATATTTTCTTATATAGAAAAAAATTTATCCGGATAATATTTTCTTATATAGAAAAAAATTTATCCGGATAATATTTTCTTATATAGAATGAAATTTATCCGGATAAATTTTTTTCTATATAAAAAAATATTATAATAATATTTTCTTATATAGAAAAAAATTTGTCCGGATAATATTTTCTTATATTGAAAAAAAATTATCCGGATAATATTTTCTTATATAGAAAAAAATTTATCCGGATAATATTTTCTTATATAGAAAAAAATTTATTCGGATATTATTTTCATATATAGAAAAAAATTTATCCGGATAATAGTTTCTTATATAGAAAAAAATTTATCCGGATAATATTTTCTTATATAGAAAAAAAATTATTCGGATAATATTTTCATATATAGAAAAAAATTTATCTGGATAATATTTTCTTATATAGAAAAAAATTTATCCGGATAATATTTTCTTATATAGAAAAAAATTTATCCGGATAATATTTTCTTATATAGAAAAAAACCTTATCCGGATAATATTTTCTTATATAGAAAAAAAAATTTATGCGGATAATATTTTCATATATAGAAAAAAAATGTTATCCGGATAATATTTTCTTATATAGAAAAAAAATTTATCTGGATAATATTTTCTTATATAGAAAAAAATTTATCCGGATATATTTTCTTATATAGAAAAAAAATTAAATTAAATTAATATTTTCTTATATAGAAAAAAATTTATCCGGATAATATTTTTTATATATAGAAATAAATTTATCCGGATAATATTTTCTTATATAGAAAAAAATGTTATCCGGATAATATTTTCATATAAAAAAAAAAATTATCCGGATAATATTTTCTTATATAGAAAAAAATTTATCCGGATAATATTTTCTTATATAGAAAAAATTTATCCGGATAATATTTTCTTATATAGAAAAAAATTTATCCGGATAATATTTTCATATATAGAAAAAAATTTATCCGGATAATATTTTCATATATAGAAATAAATTTATCCGGATAATATTTTCTTGTATAAAAAAATTTATTCGGATAATATTTTCTTATATAGAAAAAAATTTATCCGGATAATATTTTCTTATATAGAAAAATGTTATCCGGATAATATTTTCTTATATAGAAAAAATTTATCCGGATAATATTTTCATATATAGAAAAAAAATTATGCGGGTAATATTTTCTTATATAGAAAAAAATTTATCCGGATAATATTTTCCTATATAGAAAAAAATTTATCCGGATATTTTCATATATAGAAAAAAATTTATCCGGATAATATTTTCATATATAGAAAAAATTTATCCGGATAATATTTTCATATTTAGAAAAAAATTTATCCAGATAATATTTTCATATATAGAAAAAAAATTTTCCGGATAATATTTTCATATAGAAAAAAAAATTATCCGGATAATATTTTCTTATATAGAAAAAAATTTATCCGGATAATATTTTCTTATATAGAAAAAATTATCCGGATAATATTTTCTTATATAGAAAAAATTTATTCGGATAATATTTTCTTATATAGAAAAATTATTTATCCGTATAATATTTTCTTATATAGGAAAAAATATATCCGGATAATATTTTCATATATAGAAAAAAATTTATCCGGATAATATTTTCTAATATAGAAAAAAATTTATCCGGATATTATTTTCATATATAGAAAAAAAATTATCTGGATAATATTTTCTTATATAGAAAAAAAAATTATCCGGATAATATTTTCTTATATAGAAAAAAATTTATTCGGATAATATTTTCATATATAGAAAAAAATTTATCCGGATAATAGTTTCTTATATAGAAAAAAATTTATCCGGATAATATTTTCTTATATAGAAAAAAATTTTATCCGGATAATATTTTCTTATATAGAAAAAAATGTTATCCGGATAATATTTTCTTATATAGAAAAAAATTTATCCGGATAATATTTTCTTATATAGAAAAAAATTTATCCGGATAATATTTTCTTATATAGAAAAAATTATCCGGATAATATTTTCTTATATAGAAAAAAATTTATTCGGATAATATTTTCTTATATAGAAAAATTATTTATCCGGATAATATTTTCTTATATAGGAAAAAATATATCCGGATAATATTTTCATATATAGAAAAAAATTTATCCGGATAATATTTTCTAATATAGAAAAAAATTTATCCGGATATTATTTTCATATATAGAAAAAAAATTATCTGGATAATATTTTCTTATATTGAAAAAAAATTATCCGGATAATATTTTCTTATA